CTGGTTTCTTCTTGGCAGCTCTTAGTCCATCACTGTACCATATCACTGTGCAGCACTGGGGGATATTGATCCCTCTGCTGGGGCAGGTGCTGTATCCTGTTGCTTGGCCATTTTTTCTCCTTGCCTTAACAGCTGCTTCTTTCTTTCAGTAGCAATCTGGTGACAAATAACTGACCATCAGTGAATTGTTTGTCATTCAGGTGTTTCTTTTTTCAGGTGTTTCCCATATTTTCAAGTTCTGATCTTAAACGGTATATTAAAAAAAGAGATGTGGTGTCAGACTGCATTTCACCCAGCATGCACTTGAAGTTTATACAAGTCCAGCAGGCCAGTGCTCTTGTGTAGGTGGTATAGGGCACAGTTGGTATAAGGTACAAGGCCTATTCCTACAGATGATATTAATATTATTACTAGTGAACTAGGTACAAAAATGCTTCCACGTTGTTTACCAATTACACTACATTACTGTGTTCATATTTGAAATGAAAATAGGAGAGAGTTAACTAAATTCTGCTTAGAGAGCTGCTTTTTTTTTTCATGTGTGCAACTGAAGTCTGCTTTGGCTGTGGAAGGGAAAGTCGAGGGCTCCTGAGCCAATGGAAAAAAGGATCTCAAAAGACATTTGTATGCATATGTTAGACACACACATGCGTGGAAGAAAGTGGGGGAAAAAGGCAATAAAGCCAGAAAATGGCTATAGAGACAAGTGAAATTGTCATTTTGGGAAAAATAAAGAATAAATATTGTATTTTCAGCACTGTGTGACACTGCGTATATCAGAGTAGATCTTATGCTACTGTTAATGGATATTTCAATGGATATTTCAGACCTTTGTTTACAGAAACCTCCAATACTTTCCCTCTGGAATATTTCTTTGTTAGTGCTCTAAATCCACCCAAAAATATAGGTGGTTTTTTGTGATTGATTATTGAGCTTTTTTTTTGGCTACATTTTGTCGTTTAACATTACTTTTAAATACTACATCAATAATATGCTGACAATTTTAGAGAATTAGTCAGTAAACTCCATCAGTCCAGTATGAAGTTCACATAGCAAAAGCAATAATATATTTCCAGAATTTTTTTTTTATAATGTGGTATAGTTTTCTGTATGGGACCAGAGGTCAGCTTACCACTGTCTCTCTCTCAGAATAAAGGGGCCAGAATAGCACAAGGGAAGCAAAGTACCTATAGGCAAGAAGAAGAGTCTTATGATAAGGAGATTGTGACATCCAAGCAAATTGTCACACAACAACATGTAGGATTTCTGAAATACCAGCTGAAAAATCTGATGCAAAAATGGTCTGAAAGGTATACTCTGAAAACTAGATGAAACACTGTTTTAATTTTAAGCATGAATAATGATTTGGGGATGGGGAAGAGGAGAGCAAAAATTCTCCACAAAAATTTGTTGAAAGAAAAAAAATGAGAGTACTGTATTCTCATATTGTAAATACCAGTTTCATTTTCTGCATTCTGAGATAACAGAGTTAAAACTAAAAGTTTGTTAAGTACATTTTTTACCAAGTTTTGATGTGGCTATAATGGTGTTGTGTGACTACAAAATATTTAGGAAACTGAGGAGAAAAGCATGATTTGGGCAATTCCACATCTCTTTATGTGACTTTACTGATATCAAGGTTTATAGAGGAAAGAATAATCAAACATTGAGGTTAATGAGAGTAGCATAAAATGAAAATAAATTTATTGGTAGTAGACTAATCTGCTAGCTTTGGCTATTAATTTCATGGTTTTTTCAGTCCCATAAAATCTATATTGACTTCAGTGAAATACTTAATATTATGTACAAAGGGAGATTATTCATTAGAATAAAAAGTAGAAGAAACAAAATACTGTCTGAAAGGAAGGTGACTAAAAATTATGAAACTGTGATATTTCACCAATGAGTGTGTCTGACATAGGGTTAGATAGTTTGCCAGATGAGAGTGTTATTTCATTGTCATCACTCAATAATCCTGAGGAAGCAGAGTAAAAGAAATTTGACAGCACGAAGTACAAGATCATGCATCTTGATACTGTAATAAGAGCTTTGGTCAAGAAAAAAAGGATGTTTTATTGCAAGTTAGTCAGGTAAGGTATTCTCAGGAATACTGTAGAAATAGTAATGCAATGTAATAGTGAGTCATCACCTGAAATACTGTGCAGAAATATTTCAAACCAGAAGTAGGTGAAGAGGCTTCTGCAATAATTATGGCATTAGAAGACTTGATTCAAGAGAGGAAGCTTTAACAACAAAGTTGTTATAACTATGAAAAGCAAACAGTGAGGAAATCTAAATATTGCCTATAAAAATATCAGGAGCCATGTTGAAAAAGGGATAAGAGAGTTTAGAGGATATATGTAGGGGATTATTTAGACACACATGCATTTTATTCAATGAACAGCTTAGTTTTGTGGGGTCACTAATATTCAAAAACACAGGTTTTGACTTTGTTCAGTTTGGCTTGGGTTTATTTCTGAATCCACCCAGGATTAGGGTCAAAGTTTGGCAGGAGAAGAAAAATACTCTCTTACTTTTATGTCCCTTCAAATTTTATGCCGTGTCTTTTAGAGGGACAAAAGGGAAGGTTGGCAGGTATTTCATATGATCTTTTTATGGAAGAGTTGGTTATATTTACAGGTTTGATTTTTTTTTTCCATGTGTTTTCATTAAATTGAAAGTTGCAAACACAGTAATATCAAACCTAATAGCAGCATATTGTGAACTAACCTTTCCTTGAGGCTGTCATCGGAAATATAGTCTTAAAGTAAAATATATCTAATAGTTGTGCACTGCTGAAATCAAAGGAATGCTCCATTCCTAAGTTGAAGAACAATCTAAGATCATGACAGAAGAAAAAAAATACTCTTCAGAACAAGATAGAGATTTAAAGATTCTTGATCAAATAGGTAACTGTTCCATGTCAAAAGAACTGAAATACTCAAATAAAAAATTGGCTTTGCTAGAAGCAAGAACTCAAAAATTTCTTGTATAGAACCTGTTAATTGGCTCTAGGCACAGAGATGTTTTGTTGGGCTTTTTATCTAGGTAAAAGACTGTAGCTGTTACTTTGCTGCTGCCTGCAATTGATGTATTTTTTGGTGGTTTGGGTTTTATATTGTTTTTAAACATGTACTTGCCGTGTTTCATCATTTTGATATTATGTAAGTGTATATCACACCAATTTATGCTGTGAACTACTTATTCAAGACAAATGGTATTGTGAAGAGTCCTATCAATAGCTATATTAGGCACAAGTTGTATTCTGTGTTTCTTAGCAGCTTTCTAAGTAAATCAGTGTCTTAAAATTGTGTGTACCTAAGTTTCAGAGGCTTCTTATGACAGAAGAAGTATGACTTTCTATTAAAATCAGGATTGTTTCTGGAACCAGTAAAGACTGAAGTGCATCTTAGTCAACATTGTCAGCTTCCAGTTTTAGCTCTGCTTCACAACAAGGCAGTTTCTTAACTACTGAAACCAACTGACTTACCTGGTGATGATTTGGGATGACCAGTTCCTGTGTGAAAATATGCAAGTCTAATATACAGTTGGGAAACAGTGCTTTTGAGTAACCAGAGGCTTTTAAAAATGGTAATTATAAAGCAAATGAAGAGTTATAAATTATAATATGAACATATATTTTTATTGCCTCTTTCTCTTTTGAAAAATTGCCTCCACACTGTTTGGGCTTTTTCGTTTTCCTTCTTTTAGGTTGCATTAGTAATTTAACAGATTACCATGGAACATTTTATAGTTGTGGTAACCTTTCTGCAATGAATGGGATTGTAGTTGCTATGCAACATTTTACTCTCGTCATTTGGGGACTCTGTCAGGCTTTTATGAGAGAAGGATGTGTTCGTTGTGTCTATTTTATATTTTCCATCACATAACTTACTCAATAGATGAAATCACAGATGCACTACAGATTCTAGTAACATCACAGGGACACAGACTTTCTCCAGGGATTTTTTTTAAATGAAGTTGAAAGTAACTATATCTTTACAGATACAGTATATTATGAATAAAATAAATAATTTTTTAAAAAGTAATTAGACTAGAATTCACAGTATGTTCTTGCCTCTTAATTATTGTTCCTATGGAATGGATTTAAATGTAAAGTTTACTTCATAAGCAATCAGGAAATAGTTTTTTATTGATTGCAATAATATAACTCTAAGATAGAATACATGCTAATGAGTTATCCTCAGTTTACTCTTGTCATCTTGATATTTTAATTGACTATTTACAGATCAAGCGTTCAACTTTACACGCATTGATTCAAATGTACGAAAGTTTTATTTCTCTTTTCCTGAAGAAAAAAAATTTGTACCTTTTTTACATCGTTCTGTAAATCTCTGATGTTTCAGTTCTACTCCTTTCTTTTTATTGAGTCTATGATTTGCTCTGTTGTACTGTCTCAAGTGCTTGGCAGGCATCTTCGTTCTGATAAATTCTGTTGGTTATTTTACCACTCATGTTTTCAAACTGGAAATTGAGTTTTAGGTTTCATACATAGGTTTTTAGTAGCCCCATTTTCTCTGTGTTTTGAGAATCTTGCTTTCCCTTCATGATTTTCCATACAAATGTTCTTTTTGTTTGTTTTAACAGAATGAGATTGAAAAAAGCTTTGTGAGTCTTAGAATAGCTTCAAAACTTGGCCTTTGGTTAATCAGAAGAAACAGACTGGCATATGTATATCTCAGGTTATTTAAAACAGACTGTTAATTGCAATGCAAAACCTTAGGTATAAAAATAAATCAAAATGCAGCATTCAAACAGCATACATCTAATCAGAAAAGGCAACTGAATAAGTGAGGGGAGCTGAATGTTGTAGAGTGACCTCATCATTTTGTAATTTCTTTAATGTGCTTTGATTTCAGAATTAAAAAATGTAGTATACTGATTTGGGTAAGGTTTTAACTCATGTATTTTAACTCATGTATTTTGCAAACAATGCTTTTTGTTTAGCGTGTTAACAGAATGAATGTTCTGTATTTTAGTCTCAGCAGAAAACCTGGAGAAGAGCCTTAAGCATATGGAGAAGCAACTCCAACAACTTGAGAAGGATTTGCAGACTTTTCCGCTTCCTGAAGATAAGCATGATAAGTTTATAGCAAAAATGTCAATATCCTTTGGAATGCTCTTAAAAAACAAAACAGAAGAAAAATCCCTAAGTAATTTAACTACATCGTTTTAAACTTTAAATTTCTTTGCATAATTTCTGTGTAGTTTGTGGCATATATTTTTGAAAAATCTAACTTTTTTCCCCTCTCAGAAACTAAAGACATGAAGAGTCCAATTAAAGGATTCCTCTGTAGTGGACTGAATGAGGAGAAAAATACTTACTGTCCGGTTTTACATTGTATATAAACTTGCATAACTTAGTAAAAAGTAGTTATAAGAGGAATGTTAAGGACTCTAGTGTTAAATTATTTTTTGATGTCAAAATATCTTAGAAAAATATGTCTGTCACCCTATGTGTATTTGTTTTCTAGTGTATAGATTATCACTGTCAATGTTTTTGTACATGCAACCACAAAACCAGAAGATTTCTCTTATTTCAGAAATTGGATTCATAACATGTGAAGTGTTTTCAGGTCATATTTTCTCCAAAATTCATTTTCTCACTATTTATTCCAAATCCTGCAACCAGCTTCACTGCCTCTCTTTTATAAGAACACCTTGTGACCTGAAGATAATTAATTAAACAGAAAACCCCTATTCTTTCACTTATACCTCCCTAGCACATGTTGGTCATATATGCTTGGCACTGAGACTAATCTGGAAGCAGAAATATCAGCAGACAGGTTGAAATTTGCTCTGCAGACATAGTTAGGTTATTACCTCGCTGGAAGACTACTCTGTTACATACAAAGGCAGGAGGACTCAGGGCACAGTCCTCTTGATTACTATTAAATGAAAGATGGCAAGTGACCCTGAGGATTAGTGGATATACTGTTTCTTGCATCAGGGCCAATTTTGTCTTCATTAGATTAGCTGCAACCAGTGTTTGCAACTTAGCTTCAGGCCTTCTCTGGACAGTGTGGGTTATCTTAACCTTTCAGTGTTGCTGCTGATTTTTTGTAAGGTTGGGTACTTTGTTGTTGAGGTTGTTCTGTTTATTGTTATTGCTGGCTTTTTTTTTTCCAACTCAATGTTTTTTTAAAAGATATGTTGTAGCCCACCGGCATGGTATCTGTATAGTATGAAACATAAGTTTTGTCCCTGGAGAAACTGATAGCATAATAGGAGAACTAGGAGACAGGACCCAAAGGCAAGAGATAAAATATTGCCATGAAGTTAGAGGAAAATATATCCATGAGAACTTTCAGAGACTTTTCAGAGAATATTGCTTTGTTAAGAAAATGGCATGTAGTCTAGGAAGTTAGAATGGAAAGGACCTATTAAAAAATCTAACCTATGAGAAAGGACAGGCCCTTCTTAATCCATTAGAATAGAATAGACTATTTCTGTTGGAAGGGACCTACAATGCTCATCTAATTCAAAATGGTTGTGATGCGGGCCATAGCCATAAAGTTAAAGTTTGTTTTTTGCATCAGTTTTCTCTAGGGAGAACTTCAGTTGATCCTACTGTGTAATATTTTGAATGGAAGGATGACATTAAATAAAAGAATCAGTAGAATTTTTTTTCTTAATATAGAATAAATAGCAATAAATCCCCAGGAGTAACCAATGGTCACAAAAAACTTGAAAAAAATTGAAAACAACTTAAATATAAACTTAATGGCCTACAGATTCTTACATGAACTAAGGTAGGCCAAGATGGAAAGGAGTCATAGAATACTTTGGTTTGGAAGTAACGTCAAAGACCATCTAGTTCCAGCCTCCCTGTTGTGGGCAGGGACACCTGCCACTAGACCAGGTTAAAGTTGAAAAGAAGCCCCTAATTTTTTTTAGAAGAGCTGCAAGGAAGATCTACAAGTCCGGCTTCTCTACCAGGAAAACTGATGAAGACTAAATAAAAACTAAATGAACATATATTTTTGGAGATAAAATATGATAAGAGAGAGTCAGTATGTGTTGGTAAAGAGAAACCATCCCTTGCAGGTCTATTATATCATGCAGTTAAAGGTAGGAGGTCAGTAGAGCATAACTGAATTTCCATGCATGTTTCAACAAGGTTTATTAACAAAGACTTTCAAGTAAAGAAATTTCTTAGGTAAAAGGTGGATTGATTTTTTTTTTCCTGGATTAATATGTTTAAAAAAATCCTCATGTTAAAGGCAGATAGTGACAGATGCTGACAAAGCAGCAAGTGAACTTCAGTGATTATAGAGTAATAGATCTGGAGGAAAAACACTATATTAGAACAATTGGGAACAATTGCAGTTAAGGGCAAGCAGAAAACATTTTAAGATGGTATAAAAATCAACAATACTCTTACATCATCAGTTCTTCCATCACCCCATCTCAAAAAGTATGCTGTGTACCTGCTGATGTGGCAGTGAATGGTTGCAATGAGCAGCAGTTGGCAATAGTTTCTGCATAAAGCATTTCAATACATTAAAACTCTGAAGGTGAAAAACCAAAAAAGTTAAGAAAATACAGTAAGTACTTGTCATTTTGTATTCCATACAGAAGGAAAGTTATGAATATATTCATTTATCTTATAAAAGATAAGATGCCAAATCTGTAATACAGATTTTATTTAGCAGTAAATATAAGGTAGAGAGATAGAGAGAAATAGAAGAGAAAGGGGAGAAGTAGTGAGAGAGAGAGAGATTAGACAGAGGATAGTCACCTCACATGGATCCAGTGGTGTCCCATTCATGGTTCTTCACCCTGGGCTTCTCAGTGGTAGGCATCCCAAGGTCATTCAAAACTTTTCACTATTTATGCATTTTAGCAAAAAGAGGAATTAATGTTCATTGCCTACATAGTTCTCTTATTCTATTGGTTAAGTTATTCCCTCACTTTTAGCGCTAATTAGTCTTGTGCTCAGTCTTTCTCCTCTTTTGAGTCGGTGGATTTCTTGAGTTGGTGGGTTGTGATCTCCCCCTGCCAGAATTGCCCAATCAGAGCTGATTTCAGCACAGTTGCTGAACTGGCTTTCCTTGTGGCCCAGAAATTCTGCATTTTTTGTGTCCATTATCAGTGATACACTCTTCTCCCCCAGCTTTGTTCTCACCCTAAGTCTGAGCTTACACCTGGACAATAGTACCACCTTGATTTTATCTCATGTTCCTGTTACAGCAGTTTAACTTACAGTCTGAGTTCCAGGTATCCAAAGAGGCACATTCGGGGGACGAGAGGAGGCTTTGCTGATTGCAGATGCCATCTGTCCCATAGCTTGAGGTTGCTTCTTTACACAGTTCACCACAGTGGGTATTTTTGTCTGGATGCATTACTGAGGATGTGCCAACCAGATCTTGCATCCACTAGGCCTGGAGCTAGTGGCATCCTGTCACTCCCTTCTGTGCTTATCTCATGGCAAAGTCCTTCTGTGGCCTAAACAGTGTTTGAGGGAGGCAACTGTGCTCTTTAAGTCCTTACACCAACCATACTACATGTTTCATTTTATGAGGCTATTCAAATACAATATTTTGAATAGTAAATATTATGAACAGAAATAGTTCACCCTCACCTACTACCTGACCTAGCAGACAGGCAGTAATTTCAAAACAGCAAAGTTGCATATGGTTTCTAGTCATGTCTGTGAAAAGACTAATTAAAGAAGCTCACTTTTAGAAAAACAGGAACTTCAATAAATTACGAAGCAGAAAAGGTTTGATGTAAAGGTTAGATAATCCTGCACAGCATGATGAAACCTGGACCTGTTTTTACTTTTATTCCTATGACAAGGAAAGCTGAGTGGTGCTGATGTCTTGAAAAGCATGCAGCTCATGAAAAGAAACCAGCAGGAAATCTGAAAAAGAAAGGATGGTGCTTTGTTGGAAATAATTTTTCATCCTGAATACAATTAAGCTTCATGGACAAGCAGGCTATTACATCCTGTCGCTAAATATCACAACCCAAAGCCCCCTAATGAACTGATTAGCATTCTTGTTTCTTTAGGAAGTCAGACGTATGCACAGTTGGTGCACTCTTTTATTGACAAAGTCTGTAATTATGAATATTTCTCCTATATAGTAGATGGTGTTAATTTGTCAGCCACCGTACGTATGCTAGCTGAAAAGAAATAATAGTTATTATCACAATGCTTCTGATTTCTTTAATTAGGAAAGTCAAAGAATATTGAATTGATATTGATCTAGCGTATTAAATCCATCAAGTGAAATGTTCCATAAAAAGTGCAGTGAACAAAATACACTTGTACCTTAAAAATAAAAATTTAGTGGGTTTATGGAGAGTATTTAAATTGTGTATTAAAAGTTTAATTAAATGATTTAGTCAACATGCTCTTTATCAGTACAACTCCCATCTTGTGATTTTTTTCCAAGTAGCAGCTGAGAAACTCTTCACAAGTTTGAGCCTATCAATGAAGGTAGTTGATGGTGTTTTTTACAGAAACTTTTGGAACTAATTCTTAAGAGACAGTAAGTTGATTGCTTGCTACCTTTCAGCTACGAACAAAGTCCTTTCTTTTGATCAATTCTCTGTTCCTCTTTCCTTGCCATTTAATTTGATTTGTTGACATTGCAAAAAGGGAAGGAAGGAACGGCACTTAACCTGAGTTAGAGCCTTCACTATCAAGTGAGGTAGAAGAAATCCGTTTCAACTGCAGCAAAGAGACTGCTTGCTGCCGCCAAACTGTCGGTTACTTAATTGACCTCATAGTTTGAAGTTCCCCCTGTGCAACATAATCAAACTGAAGTCTGTAAGATGTCCTTGCATCCTAAGGACTTTGGAAGATTACAGGACCTGAGCTCTTTAGGTAAAAAGAGGTTATGTGTTGCTCTTTGAAGGAGGCATAAGATGTTAACTGTGTAAATTTAATTTAAGTATGTTAGTATCTGATCTGGACTTCACACATTAATTACAGCTAACACTGGTTTTGCTTGTATATATGGGATACAAACACTGGATGCAGCAGATTTGTGTGGTACAAATACCTGCCAATTTGTTTTAGTATTGTAACATAAAGATAAGTAGGAATGAATCAAAGAAAAGGTATTATTTAACAAGAACTCTAAACATTTCTGTGTGTTTTCTGAACTATTATATTCAGATGCAGAATTTTTCTGTTGAACCTTGCTGTATGTATATATGTACAACATATGTATATGTCAGTCTCTCTGACATGTATTTACAAGACAATTGCAACTGTTTTCCCAAAATGTGGGAAATTCTTAACAGAGACCTACAGCATTCGCACCGCTTGCTCTTAGTAGAAAATAACTTGTTGAAATGGTCTGAAGTGCTCTCAAAGTCTTTTTGAGCATGTCTTCCAAAGGTTTGCCACATTTTTATGGAGACTGTTGCTGTCTAGTGTAGTGGCAGTCTCAGTTCCCTTTCGAAGATTCTGCTGAAATATATACAGCATCTATGCACCTACTATCTTTTTGTTCATATGCAGAACAATATTCATTTCTCAATTGTCTAGACTTCATGTGTAGGGTAGTTTGAAAATATCACAAGTGGTGAATATTGGGGTCTTTTAAGGAAATGTACGGTGGAGATAACATCATTCATTATCTCATCTTCTAGGGTAACAGCTGCTTTTACTTGGCTTGATATGCTTCACTGTATAAGTATTTTAAATACCACAATGTATTAAAATGAGTATAAACTTCAGACAAGCAGTTCACTGTGAAAAGATCTACCAGAATATGCAAGACCAAACATACAGCTGTTAGAAATTTTGCCACAGATATTACTTGTCTCAGCCCTACATTGCTTTTCTGTGCCATTAATTAGCAAAATGACCTGTAGTCCCATGAATCCAAAAATGCAGTCCATGAAGCCACTTCAGAAAAAGTTAACAAATACCAAACTTCTTGATTTCCTCTTCTTCCCACCTGTGTGGCAGCTCAACTGTATTTCTGTCTTCATTCATCCAAAACCAATGAATTGTGTAGTTGATAATGTATATATATCAACCTGTTCATAATAATTACAGTTGGGATTGCTGTACTCAGTAGTATTCCCTGTTGTCTCCAGTTTAGTTAGAGCTGGCTAACAAAAGCCATATTTAAGGAGAAAAGGAAGAGGAGTTATTAAAGATACCTAAATTGAAGCTCAGTCTCAGTAGAATGCCAAGAGCTTAGGGATATCCCATAATGCACCAGATTCATCGTGTCTGGCACTGAAATACTAGATAGTAAAACATCTTTCCAGAGTGCTGTATTTTGTGTTTAAAACTGTGCATCAAATATTCAAGGAGAGTCACTTTTAACAGCATAAACTATCCAGCTTATATGAACTCTGTTAACATAACTGTAACTTCAGCTGTGGCTTGAAGAATATCACAGAAATTTTGTCTCTCACCTCCCCCACTCCCCAGGTGTTCTTTTCAGGACATTCTCTGGCATTTACAAGATGAAGTTTACATTTCACTGATAATTTTAATTTTTTTTTTCCTTCTTCCTAGAAAACTGAAGGAAGTTTTTGGAAAGTTTGATATTTGGCACTTATACATAGTGACAACAAAACACATTTATTTGATTTCCCTTTACCCTTCCAAGCTGTGGAAAAAACAGCCTTGTAACTGCAAAACACCTGTATAGCCTTCCATAAGCTCTGTTAATAATCTCAGAATCACAAAATATGAGTATCCTAAACTTATGGGATCAAAAGTAAAACAGATGTAGAAATTCTTTTTTTCTGGATTCACTCTGTTTTCTTTGTTGTTTTGGTTTGTTGGTGGTTTTGTAAACTGCTGACATTTCTTCTGATAGTCCTAACCTTTTTTTCGTCATGACTTGTTTCTCATAATCCTTTTTTATTTAATACTTGGGCAGCAGTTGTAGAATAAGTTCTCATCAACTTTCCTTGAGGTCCCACCAGCTTTTTAAGAGACTTAATAATTTTTAAGAATCTCAGGTCTAAAGAGTAGTTTTCTGTGTGCTGTTCTCATCTTGGGAGCCAATTAAAGAGAGATTCAAATTGATGCAGAAGAAAAATGGGCCTATAACATCAGTACTCTTTGAGCTGTTACTAGCTAGTCAACATAGGCAGTCTGAAGCTCCTTACAAGCTGCATCTTGTGGAGTCAGTAGAAGCACAGAAATAAACATGTACTGACAAAAGAGCCTTGTCGGAGAAAGTCTGAAATTAAATGGTTGAGGGTTGATTTAATCATTTAAATCTTAACTTTAGTTAGTCCTTTTTCACAAGACTGCCGTAATGGAGGCTGTTGTGCCCTTGCAGACCTAACTAATAGCCATTGTAGTGACCAGTTAGAATGCTGTGAAAGTGCATCATTTCCCCTTTCCTGAACGTATATGAGAATGTTATTGTGTGACTTTCTGGCATGGATTCTAAATCACAAAAAATCCCCCATGAACTTCTTACTTGATATTTTAAAACCAACCTTAACAAACCAGAAGGACATTTAATAGTGAAATTCAAATGGGATTCAGCCTTTAAACAAAGCTAAAAAGAGGAGAATACACTGCAAAAAAACTCAAAAGTGAAAACAGTTACGCAGCAGTAAATTGTTACGGTGTACTGGTCACTTGTGGGATTCCCCAGGGCCCAGTATTGGGGTCAGTCCAGTTCAATATCTTTATTGATGATCTGGACGAGAGAATCAAGTGCACCCTCAGTCGGATTGCAGGCAACACCAAATTGGGTGGTAGTGCTGATCTGCTGGAGTGCGGGAAGGTTCTGCAGAGGGATCTGATCAGGCTGGATCAATGGGCCGAGGCCAACAGTATGAGATTCAGTAAGATGAAGTACCTGCATTATTCTATTGGTCTAAGTTTTAAGGCATTTGATTAAAAATCCTGTGCTTTATAAATAAAGTGACCGTAGTGCTTTTAATCTGTAGTAGAAAGTGTACAAATACAGTAAATTCTCTTTTGCAATAGTTGAAGTGGGCAACTGAGAGTAAAGGGGAAATTGCCATTTATTGTCTTTTGTAGTCTTTACTACAGCAGAAAAATAATGGAACATAAATATTTGTTTAACTAACATTCCATTAAAGTAAACATTTCATGAAGTTGTCCTACATAAGGAAATGACTAAGAATATTTCGTCTTTGAGCTTCTTTGACAACGCACGTTATCAGATGTCCTGAAAAAACATAGGTTTTTAATTTAATTTATGGAGTATTTTGATGCTGTTTATAAATCATCTATCTTTTGTAGATGTAGTTTTATTATTTTCATCTCTAATTTAATTATGTTGTATTGACGTTGCAAATAGCCTTAGAAAAAGCATAAATACCTAACACAGCCATCAGGAACAGAAATAAATACATCGTTGTTAAGATGAAGTTCTTTATCTTTCATGGGTTTTACTGCTAATGCTGTTTATCAATATTTCTATTTTTACTCTAATTTTAGTGGGAACTACACTATTTCTTGATAAAGCATTCAGGTTAATTATTGGTATCTGTACCCAAATGCCATGTAAATTTTAATTTACATACGTAAGCTTTTAGCTTCAATAAGGAGACAGTGATACTAAATAAACTACATAGGTGCTTGAAGTTAGATTAGTTCCATACATTTTATTGCATTTCATATGAAATTATATGGTAATAGAATAATCTTTAAAGTGGTTGAGATATTGTGATATAAGTCCCTGAATTTATTCATAGGCCTTATATACGCAGTAAATACTAGGAAGCATATATGACATGGAAGGAATTCTTTTGGTCTTCATTTGATGAAATAAAAAAATCTCTGTGACATGCAAATCAACCTTAAGTAAAAGCTGTGTGTTTGACTGGATTCACTGAGTATTGTTGCAGCCTTAACAGCAGTGTACAGCTTTCTAGTTCATGCCAAAGAAGATTTTCAGAAACTTTCACGGATGCATGAGAACATGGAAAAACTCTACCAGAACGTGATGAAATATTATGCCATTGATCCAAAGAAAGTTTCAGTGGAGGAGTTTTTAACGGACTTAAACAACTTCAGGACCATGTTCATGGTACAGTATGTTCATTTTATGACTAATATTTCTTAAAAGTTATTTCTTGTAACCTTATGTAATTGTATATGAATTTGGATAATAAGTAGTTTGTGTCCCATCTGGCTACTTATGGTTACATAGCTTAACTTACTGACTACACTCCTGCAGGAATGTTGTATGAGCATGAGTTTTGTGACAAAATCCAGAAGAGTGATCCAACTTTGCCTATTGATCTGTAGAAAGTTTCACTTAATCATTTTACCACCTACTCCTCATGGCAGACTAATGTTTATCATTACAACACTTATTTAAGTTGCTTTCATGTTTCCCTGTCTTTTTTGGTTTTACTTGCTTGGTTGGGTTTTTTAATGATTTCAGACAGATCTGAAGATATAGATAGGGAAAATTACTTCTTTAATAAATACTGCGAAACAGTTTGAAATTCATATGTCCATTTATTTTGAGGACTGGACTTAAACTGGAATCCATATTTATCAAACATTTGGAGCATGTAAAGATTACTAAGTCTCTTCTGCTTCAGAGTTTAACAACTAAAAACCTAGAGAGCACAATCTTCAATCAGAAAAAATACTGCTTGACAAGTAACATATGCCAGATCTTTCAACAGGGGCATTGATTGTTTTCCTAACTTGATCAATGCCTAATCTGAAACTCAGTAGTCTGATTTCAAAATTACAAATAGTTGTATTGCTTTAACTTCTGATGTTTAAACCGCACCTTCCATGTAAATATTGTAGAATAAGAATTCGAACTGCTTAGGCTCATGTTGAGTTGGAGGCTCTAAGGGAGTGGTTGTGCTTTACAGTAATTTTCCCATATTTCTTCTCTGTGTCTGTAAAATTACCACTGATACTAACCTCTGCTTTATAACACAGCAGTGTTATAAAAATAGATTAATTAGTGCTTCAAAACAATTAGGTATTATTTATGAGCATGATAGAAGAAACCTTGAGGAAAATTAATAATTCTGTTTTGCAGAGCACAGTTTGAAGGGTATGTGAAAAAGATGTGTAGATAAGGCATGCAACCTCTTATCATTCAATGACACTAAACAAAATTTTGAGTAACTGCTCAGTTTTGAGACTTTCCAGAAAAGATTTTTGAGATGCCTGGCATGAGACACCTAAGTCTGATTTTGGTCTTGATTACCAACAGAAGCTGAAAGTGATTGTTATACTAGAAAATTTAGTTCAAAAAACTTGTAAATTTAGTGCTGAAAAATCATTGGTTTGTTAAAAAGTCCAAAACCAAACGACCACTTATCACCAGTAGATGTGGGAAACTGAAGTTCAGTCATCCTTGTTGTTATACAAGGTTGATGATTTACATAAAGTATTCACCTACTAACAATTTTTTTTTTAAATTCTCAATTAATGAAAATATTTTAAAAGTTTTTTAAAAAACATGTTTAAATCTGGAGCCATAGACTTGAGTTTCGTAGCTAACTTTGGACTGCATTTTGTACTTCAGTGTTATTTGGCAGCTGTGACAGCTATTATTTGCACTCTGTGAGCACCAAATCTAGAGTACAGTTAGTTGGCCAAAAAAAGGGGTGAAGCATTCTACCTTCAGTGCTTTAACTTCCAAAGCTAAATTCTTGGTACTGTCAGTAGAACATCTTAGGTATCAGACATCTCTGTTAACCTCCCTCCATGCTTTCACAGCATCACAGGGACTGCTAACAAGCTCATCCCTTTCCTTGGAAGGATAGCTTTCAAGATGAAGCAATTGCTTGTCTAATGCTTAGAATTTTCCTGCGGTTGTAAGAAAGGGAGTGAAGAGGCCTTGAGTCAACAACTCTTCTGTCCAAGACAGTACACTAATCATAAGACTATAGAAACCCCTTGCTCCTAGTGACACTAGGTTGCTCTGCAGCAGAAACATGACTTCAAGAAGCAGAAGAGGAGCAACCAAGTAAGAGTTTATTCCCTAAACTCTATTTTTCTTTCAAATGATGCAAACATTTAAACAAAAATTAGGAACTAAAGCACATGAGAGAGAGCAAGAATGCCTCCATGTCAGAAAATGGCTTTGGCATGCCACATGTTTTGTGTTGAAAACACGTAGAACTTGTAGGATAGGATTTCACTCTAAGGCATAGGCCTCGAAACAGTGGCATCTGCATTTGAGTTTGAGTGTCTAATGTCATATTCTAGTCAAGGGAGATGCATACTTAATACAGTTAGTGAAATTTGAAGAGCTGTCTACCTGACATCTCAAAGGAGAACTAACACCAGAAGTGCCCAGTACCCTGGAGAGGTGTCTTAAAGACATCATCAATCTGAAATTTTAAGCTGTGACATAGAATTTGTGGAAGATGACTGTCCTGCTAGAGAAAGGCTAGAGGCAAGGTGTGATATACTAAAGCTTCCAATTTGCACTGAATATGAAGGTGTGAACTACAAAATCAAGTTGACTTGATCAGTGTGGTTGGAAAGAAGAGATACCTACATTTGAATGGCTACAATCTGAGGCTGAGTCCTACTGGTATTAATTTTGGGGGAAAAGTAGATGCAAAGTAGAAATTTCCTTGGTCACTGTGTTGGGAAAGTGTGTAATTTCTCCCAGTATTTACCTGTACTCAAGACCCATTTGAGTTTTACCCAGTAGTTTATTCTACAGAATGCCTAGTCTGAAAATCTGCAAAGAATTTGTTAAAAATAATTCAATCAAAAATGTTAACATTTTGTAGTAGGCTTCTTCCCTCCTCCTCTTGTATCAAGAAATCTGACAGAGGTTACTTTGGTTAAGACTGTGTGAAAATACAGTTTTGCTTTGTATAAAAAAGTCCATTTCACTGACGTTTTTTTCATGATGGAAAGTTTATTCTCCTTCAGTTATCCGAGACCAGTATTTCTTCACAAGTTCTATATGATATTTTTCTTTCCTCTTCTTATGGTCACTATCTATTACAGTGATGCTACAGTGCCCCTGGAAATATTCCTGTAATCCACATTCATCTGTGCTGTATAATAGTCTTCAGTCCATTCTTGTTATTTTTTTTTTTCTGAGTGCAGTTTGGACATTTTCCTGCTGAAAACAACATGAGACATTAACTATCCCTGCAAACACGCAGCGTGTGCGTCAGACCTTGTGAAGATGGTAGCCATTTTGTAGGCAGGGACACTTTGATATATTGTGAAGGATGGGATTCTGTGGAACTGTGTTCTGAAAAAAGAAACTTTCTGCAATGAAGAATGGGTGCATCTTACATATAATGCAAATGTAAATTCTCAGAGCACTGAGAATTTACCAATGGACATAGCTAACACTAAAAGTATGAAAAATTAATCCCAAAATACTTTTGTTAAAAATGTATTCAATGTGACACAGTTCTTTTGCTTAATGTCTGAATATACAAAATTATAACTTAAAAACTTTGAAACTCATAGTTCTCTTTTGGCTTCATTGGAAGTTTTGGAGTCCTTATTTATAATTCAAAATAAACAATATTGCACGGATATTATCCAGAAGACAAGAATTTATAAACCCAGTGAATGAATGCATATGTAGATAAGAATAAGAAAAATGCAACACTGTCACCCAGAAAGCCTTGTTTTGCTTGCTTTAGTGGCTACACTGGAAAGAATAAGTGTTGAAACTATTCTAGAAATACAAATAGTAACATACTTACAATTTTGTAAAACAAGGTGGTTTAGATATTTTGAGTTCTTCCTACACGTGTATTCTTACGATGTGTTTCTATCTGAATGTATAATCCTTATTTGGGGGCAATTAGAATGCTTTTAATATATTTATTCTGAATTTACTTACTCTTCTGAATAAAATGTGCTAAACATGGAGTGTAAAATATTTATTTGGTTTGATAAATTAAGATGTGATCTGAAAAGGTTCAGCTTTGTTTTTGCTAAGACTTCAGTTTTAATGGAACTCTATATTGCTTTTTTTCATAGCACGCAGTAAAGGAAAATATGAGAAAAAGGGAAGCAGAAGAAAAACAGAGACGTGCTAAAATAGCTAAGGAGAAGGCAGAAAAAGAAAAACAGGAGAGGCAACAAAAGAAAAAACGCTTGTTGGAAATGAAAACAGGTAAGTGATGTAGAAAACACATTTTACCAAGCATTTTACTGGAAATAAAGCTGCTATTTTTTCATTATCTGAATGAACTATGAGAAAAAACAAAATAGATGAATGATTTTTCACTGGTTAAAGTTTTCAGCAAAGAGGTTCTTAAATTTTATATTGTTAATGAGCTTTCCTAATTGCCAGTTTTTCTCAAGTTATTTTATCATGCTGCCTTTTATTTTTCCATTGGAATATATTGAATCTTGTGTGACTAAGTATAAGTTCAGTTATGCTCAGAATCCTTTTTTACCTGAGAAAAGACATTTTGAGAATCACAAAGCCATTTTCTTTAACTAAGGTTGCATACACATTTTTGTTCTTTTATGAGAATAAGTCCTTCCTAAAGTACTTCGTATTTTTCTATGAGTATGTCAATTGTTATTTCAGCAGGTCCCTGTTGAAGCACCTCAAAAAACCCTTCAGCCATGCATTTTTAAAGTTACTCATACTATATTGTCTTCTGTAATTAAAGAGGCAGCAGATACTGTGAGAACTCTGTTACTAAAAAAGATGCCTGATTATCCTTTATACTTCTGTATTTTATCCCAGACTGAATTTCTGTAACCCTTCAGAATGATACATGCCTTACTGTATTAATTACCTTGAGCTACTCTTTTTTTTTTTTTTTTTTCTGAGCAGATCTTGTTAAACAGTTCCCTACTCAAGCCCTGGCTAGCACCTTTGGCGTAAATGATTATCTGTCTCTTACACTTTTCACTAATAACCAGAGTAGGTCTGTTTAGTTTCAGAGATGTTTCAGACCAAAAGTCTCTGATTTATTTTTGTAAGACTATCCGTATCTTGAGGTGTGAGACTAGAGCTTTCTCTTAAGGTGGGAAATCAGGCAACTGCTCTCTGAACAAAGAATTTCTAATTCCTTAAAAGTAGTATTCAAGACTACTTTCAGAAAACCACAAATGACAATCTTTTCAAAGCTCACAGAAAACAGAGGATAGCTGCAGAAGACTAGGAAAGGGTAAAACTGGTATCTGCATTCATGCACAGCTGGAAGTGTTTCAAAAGAGATTTCTCTCAGATATGTTGTATGTATGACTGATAGCACTTTGGGTGGAAAATTGTTAGTCTTTCAGTGAAAGTTAAAGCTACCCTCAAGTTCTGTTCTTCATAATGTGATGTTCAGGCTTTCCAGAATACAGGTGCCAGTGTTAGACACTTCTGTGTCATATACTTGCATGTATACATAGGCCTCTTAGCGAAACTTACCACCTCAGTTAATGTAGTAGGGAGCTAAGTACTTGTCACCTGCTTGTCTTTAAGTAGCTTGGGTTTTTTATTAAATCATGTAAGTGTACATGTTCTAGAGTTGTGAGAGTTACCAAAATCACAAACACTAAGACATGAAGCGTATGAGCAAAGCAACTTTATTCTATTACTCACAATAGCAATGAATACACACCGAGCCCTGGATTTCTGAAAAGCTACTGAGCAGGAGAAGGAGATGGATCATGGTGCTCGGCAGGAGGGGCAGGCAGGCCATGCACCTTCAGGGCGTCCCCTGGATCAAAACCATGTGCATCTCATCCTGTCCAACCCAAATCCACCTCTTATATCCCCCTCACAGGAGTGGAATTTTCCAGTTGTGACATTGGCTCATGCATGGCCAGAGCACAAACCAAGACCACAATGGCTTATGATACCAATTCTGTGCCAACAGTGGCTCTGTTGTTTCTTCTTCTCAATGTCAAATTTCCACCAGTTAACCTAATCTAGTGTTCTTCTTTCCAAGGTTCAGTTCCCAACAGTGAAACTATACATTTTCCCATGCCACATCAACGAGCACAACCGTGGACCAACTATATCAGGGCCTCAGACACAACTCAGGTCCCTGACACAGTACAGAAAGAGGTTTCTTGGTCTTGTGAGCAGCCACTTAAAGTTCAGTCTGGAATGACTAATCTAAACATCAGAGTAAAAAATGATGTTAGGATCACCTCTAGCTATAAATGCCTCAAGTCTGATATTCACTTAATTGGGTACTGATGAGTTGTAAGTTTTTTTGTGCCTGTTTGCAACATATTTTTAAAAGTCTGTTAGAAAACCCAAATTGTGGCAGTGGAAAGCAAGTGTGGTAGATTTGTTTGTCAGGAAGGACAGCAACAACAGCATGAAAAGTGGGATTTTTTTTTTATTATTATTATTATTATTATTATTATTATTATTATTATTATTATTGTGACAGTCTTACCAGAACTGTATTTACAGTATTTAATTGAAGAAGCATGTTGCTGTAATTCTTTGGAGTAACACAGACAATCAAAAAAACTTTTTTTTCCCTTCCTCTTTTTTCCTAGCTATAATTAGGTCAAGGAAAGGCTGTTTTTCTCATTAAAAATTTGTAAATCAGTCACAAAATGTTTACATCTGACCTGCTAAAAAATTCATAACCAGGTCCTCCCTCTGTCAAAATACCAAACACTCTTACCTGGAGTGTGACTATGGAGTAACTGGTTTTTGCATATTATTTCTTTACATGGTGTCTGGATCAGATGTTGGATTTCTAGAAACATTATTTCAAGTATTGCTTGAATAAAGTAGCTGAAAACTCACTGATGTTACCATCCCAGAAGCTGTTTTCTGGGTTTCAAACAGTTGCATACTTGGAAGAAGAGAAAAGATTTGATTATATATGCTAAATGGTCTTCAATATTTTTTTTCTCAGTGGACAGATCATAGTGTACACTACATGTCAACTCTTTTTTTTCTGTAAGATGGTTTTTTAACTGAAAATGACCTGAAAGTTAGGAATGGCTGTGTATCACTGTGCTGTGTGCAACTTTGGAGTTTCTTGACTGTTTCTCTTTTTAAAAAACCCCAAGAATCAGCAGCAACAACAGGAAATGAAACAAACAACTAAAAAAATAATCCAGGAATAACCCAACCGCACTTTACTGGACTTACAGTCATTAACAGCACTGGTTTTGCTGTTATCTTACTCTTGTGCATTGTTTGTCATTATGACTATAATTAGTTCTTACTATCATTCAGTCAATCAGTACCACTACATAGTCAAAGGCTGAACATCTGTGTCCTAAATTTAATGTGGTTGTAAAATCCCACAGAATCGATACTGTAGCATGGGCAGCGATGGCTACCCGTGATGGTCCCAGTTGACAGGATGACATAGTGAAATTTGAGAGGTCTTCTGCAAGGGAAGCCAGAACTGAAGCAGATATATTTTTTCTTCTCTACCATCTTCTCTTTCCTTCCCCACACACAGTATGGGGTCTTATTCTTTTACAAAATGGTTTATTTTTTAGATAGTTTCCAATCCTGTTGTCTATCCCTAGATGACAGGATGCAAAATGCTTCGGGTGGTGTTAATTCCTCAGGCCACAGCAGTGCCTTTGATTTTCTCTTGCTTAGCTGCTGCTTCTTTTCTTAATGTAAAAGCAATCTTTTTTTCATCATGCTTGAGGTTGTGCTTTTTTTTCAGTGACCATTAATTAGCCATTAGTGACTACTTCATGACTCTGGAGCTTCTGCTTTCAGAAGTTACTCAGTAACTTTCAAGATCTGAGCTGCTATCTAGTGCTTAAACAAGATTTGTATCATCATCCTAAACTTGTTTTGTTAACCACTGATCTCACGTACAACACAGATATTTATCCTGTCTTAGATTTTGCTTTGTTCTTGAAGTTCTTTTCTCTGGGTTTTTTCATCTTTGTCTACTTTTAGAAGAGCAGGGATTTGTTGCCTATGGTGCGACCTTTTGCTGCACAAGGTAAAGGAAACTGTGATTCATTTCTTTGCATAAAAGTGACCTACATAATATTGCAAAAGTTTTTAGTTATTTGGAGGGTATTGCTAACTTTTTTTGCATTTTCAGAAACTTAATATAGAATCATAGAATGTTAAGGGGTTGGAATGGACCTTAGAGATCATCTAGTCCCAACCCCCCTGCCATTGGCAGAGAAACCACCAACTTATATCTTAAGGAAATATGTAATAAAATATAACTTTTATTAAAATATACACAATATGTGGCTTGCATATTATAAGTTGCATATGGCATGTTGGGACTATATTAAACCAGATATGACTGACATTACAAGTATCATATTAACCCAAAAAGAAAATGGATCTGGATTTAAGGTATCTGCTGAGTTTTAGCTTAAACTAATCTCTTCAGGCTGAAAACAATAATTTCATTAGTAGTAACTGACATTTACATCAAATATGAGGTGGTCCTATATCATGGTTTGGGATTTCTGGGTCACCTCAGACCAGCAGGGGTTCACAGCTGAGCTGCAGTTTCTCTCATTGTACCCAGTGGGGTATCAGCCGAGCTCAGAGGTCAAATCACACAGAGACACCAGCTGTGGGTGCTAAAGCTGATCTAACTTTATTTTACAAAATGGAAGGTTTTTATAGGCAGATAAGGAAGGTTCTGGAAAAAGGGGATAGGTATATATAAACTTGGACAGGGCATTGGTTAGGATTTAAGATTGATATACATAATAGGGGAAATACATGCATCTTTAGATAACTACTAAGTTCTTAATTGGAAAAACTAACTGTTCCTGAGTGGACATTGGCCAATCAGAGAAACCTGCTCTCCCTCGTAAGAGAGAGAGCTCACAATCTAACAGACAGTCTGTTTGTCTGATGCTGTCTGGCCTATGTTGCCAGAAGTTATTTCTTTCCGCCTTCTAAACTCCTTTTCTTCATCCAGGCTACCTCCAACATCTCCTCCTTCTTTGTCTTGTAAAATGAGATTTGCTGAAAGGTTTTTGGTTAGTATTTTACAGATGCAGACAATGAGACATGGAAGAATGAATAGAATGACAAATAGAATGATTAGAACAAAAACAAGAAAGCTTATAATTTTGTTCAGCCAGTTGGGCAGACTTGGAAAATGAATCCAGTTGAATAAGCCACTGAGTCCCTTGCCTTGGGAAACGTGGATGTCTTGGATTAGATTTTTTAACTTAGAAATGCTGTTA